GCAGGAAACAGGGTAAGTATTGTCCATAACATAAAGCAATGTTCCGGAGACGAATCAAAAATATGTAGTGTAGTGGGAATTAGCGTAGCGCATAAGTAGTGTGGTAGAGTCGAGTCGAGTCGAGTCGAGTCGAGTCAAGTCAAGTCAAGTCAAGTCAAGTCAAGTCAAGTCAAAACGCACAGTGTCTGTCAGCGTCGCATTCTACCAACATGTACAGTCCGCATTACTATGTCAATGTTCCAGCAAAGAGCGTCTGCCAGAGGTTTATATAAGGAGGCGAAGGTAATCATCGGGATGCACCCCAGCTGTGTGCATCGACAAACCAGTTGCTAATTACTGGAATGCAACACAGCTGAGGTGCAGAGCCCACAGGATAGAGAGAGCAGAGGAGAGACAAAGAGGGAGGAGAGGCAGCGGTCGCCGAGCGGCCCTGACACTGATATACAGCTCTAATAAAGACTGAGACTGGGAAACTGATGGGACAGTTCTTAGAAGTGAAAACTGTGTGAGAGTTTTTCCTAATAGGAACAATGTTTTAATCTAAACATGATGCCATAGGGAGGTGGTCTACGTTATACTCTGTAAGACAGTGTGCAAACTCAGCAGACCTCAGACTTTCTTACTTTGATCCTGAACGGTGGTTACAGCTCTCCATGTACACATAAAACTATATAAAGAGCATATCACTATGATCCACACTGGGTTAAATTTTTTACTAAGGAGAGGAGAGGATTTTCCCTAACAAAAGTCAACATAATACCACAGCTAGCATCCTGTTATCTTAAACACAAAGACTTGAGACAGGAGGACAGGGACAGACGCCCTCTACCCAGTGGTTTGTCACCTTCTTCTCATCTGGCTCCTCTCCCTCCTTCTCCCTTCTCCTGCGTCCTCGTCCTGCCTTCCTCTCACGGGCTTTTTTGGGCTTCTTGGCCTTGTTGAAGCACTTCTTGTAGATGCAGAATCCCAGGCAGGCGACAAGGGCAAGGCTCACCACCACAATGGCACCCACAGCCCACATGGGCACTGGAAAATGGAGTGGGAGTAAGGGGAAATGTAGATTGGTGCTGTGTAGCTTGATAAAAAACACTCCCTCTGCCTTGGTGAGGACTTTGTTCCCACTGAGTAACAGTGTAAGACAGGGCCTAAACTTTTGCCACTTTTGAATGAACTTGTATTGCTTTGAAACAGGAAAAACACAAAGGGGCAAGCTGGACTTACACTTGAGTTTATGATCTTGAGGAGCAGAGCAGAATGGTCACATGAGGAAATGAGAGAGGACAGAATAAAGAAATGAAACAACATGATTGAAAATGAGATAACAAAATGGTTAGATGGTGACATGATGTAAAACAGCAGAGGCCAAGATCATCTGGCATTTTGCTTGTTTTTAATGCTTGGTCTTTGTTCAATTAGTAAATGGACTTTTACATGTACATTGACTGACCCTCTCTATAAATTGAAGTGTCAGGGTTGTTGGTTTTACTTTGTATAAACAGTTCAGTTTTTAAGAACATATCAGTTAATTTGAAGTAATTTGGATTCATCAGCGGTATGAACAGCAAACAGTATGCACATACAGGTATGTCTGAAGTTTCTTTATATATGTATTTTGTGTATATTTTACATATACTGTATGTGTACATCTGTGTCTGTGCATACTTGGCAGGTGCGTAAGCTCATTGAAGAACTTGTTCTTCATGCTGGCAAACTGGTGGTTGGAGTCATGAGAGGGGGGTGGGGGCTCCCTCTCCTCCTCCTCTCCTCTGTGAAGCTGAACTCCCGATGCACTGAACGATCGCATCATAGCTCTGTGAAAACAGTAAAACAAATGGCCAGTGACTTCATAATCTTCAGGTCAATTTTGGTGGCATTAAAACCACAGCAAAACACAAAGAAATTTGTCTATAAGTTTACTGTATGTCACGTTTACCTGCAAAACACAACAAAACACATTTCAGGCACAAACTGCAGAAAATTCAACTTTTTCAATTAATTAAATCCACCCCCAGAGCCAACAACACATTAGCCAGTTTATCAGTATCTGATATTTTTGTTCTGCTTGCTTCTCTCTTTTTTTTAAATGTGTCTTTCTTTCAAATGGCATCCTGTGTGACCTTTCACCTGGCTGTAATCCCTTTAATCCTCTGTCACAAGCTTCAGTCTCCCGCCTCTTACCATCCCATTCAGACTTCACTCTATTAGGAAAATACTTTAGCCTTGTGTACATTAGGATAGTCTGCTCTAGTCTACTCTTGAAATATCTTGTGGGTTATTTTGTTATTTTATTATTTTATTTTATTTTATTAGTTATTTTATTTAAAAAAAAATGGATATGATTCCATTTTTAGTGAGAGGCTTAAAAACAAAAATCTCTTGCCACAACTGTAAGAAATCCACATTACATTTTTGTAGTAATATCAACTTGACAAGCTAGCTGATTAGCAAACTGGCTCACATACAGCCAGTTGATAGCTGTATAGCTTTTTGGCTAACGTTAATTAGAATATTTAAATAGGCTACTATTAAGTGCTTCATTACATTTTTGAGGTATTGGTACTTATGTGTAAAGATGCAGTATAGTTTTACCCCCTCTACATTTGAGAATAAAATAGTTTACTTCTTGCACCAGTAATTTTGTTTTCTTGTTTCCTCCTCTCTTCCTCCTTCGCCCTTCTTCCTTGTGCCGTTTCTGAAAGTGTAACAAAAAGGAGCAGCCCATGCTTATAGCCAACATATGTGAGGACATTTCCTTGGTTGTGGTAGGTCTTTTTAACAGCAAACATTCTGACTAGCTGGAAAACATTGGTGTTGCTATTAATATTATGATGACTCCTCTTTTCAAGTGTCCCAGTCAGTGTGAGAACGAGCCAGCATTCACAACACCAGGACCCCGAAAATGAAGCAGCTGGAATTCAGTAGTCATTCTTTTGATTATTGACTCCTGTATTTTTCCTACTGAGGCAAACTGTCAAACTGCTCTGTGAAAGTGGCTTTTTGAGTGCATCGCCTTATTACACAAACAATCTTAACAAAATGCTAAATAAAATTATTAACTTCTGCTTTAGTTTTCTATTTTCCAGCCCCATTTTCATTGGCTTCATACCTGTTTAACTCTTTAAAGAGCCATACTCTGAATTTAGCTCAGTTACATAGCAAACTGAAAAGATGCATAAAGTGCAAATAGAAAACAGTTTTACCTTCTGCTAAATGTTTGCCTGTTCTCTGCCTGTGGACGTTGAATGAAGCAACAACTTAAGAAAAAAAATTACAGTTTCTGGTAACTTCCTTTCATAAACATTTAACTTTTTATTAGCACCTGTCTTCAACCTGTCAGCTGTGCACTCATATGCACAATGATATTCAATCATGCACACACACACCAGCCCAACTGACATGAGACAGCCCTCTGTCACTGTGCAGCAGTGTACTGTAACAAGATTAATTGCCAAAGGTAATCCGAAAAATCCCTGGTCTTAAACACATGAAGGACAGTTTGCCTCTCTGGTTTTTCTCCCCCTTTCTCCTCCCATCATCACACCAACATCTCCAATTAATTCCTCACCTCTTTCTGCCTATTAACCTCCCACATGACAGATGATACACCTGAAACATGCCTCCACATATGCACAAGCACAGACACACATAGACACACATGGTGTGATTCTGCAGGTTTGTACAAAAAGCCACAAAACCAACAAAGTCCATCTTCAGTTACAGTGGCTGCCCATGTGCAAGGTACAAACAACAATCCTGAACCCAATCACAACAAACATTGATAGTGTTGAGGATGTATGGCACGTGATTTCAAGTGAACACACTACAAATAGACATGCATTAGCCTCATACAATCCACTTAAACTAATCTCTACCAGGTTTGGAAAACATTTTTCAATATGTGTAAAATTTAATGTTTCTCTCATGGAAGAACTTTCTTAGTGAAAAGCTGGTTTATGGACAAGGCTAAAAACAAAGTTAGAGAAAATAACTGACGCTGAAATGAGTCATTGATGGATCTACAGAAAACTAATCATGAGACGTTTCACAGTCAAATCATTTTCAAGTCAAAGCTAAAATCAGTAAAGTAAAAACCAAGTAACACAAATGAGCAGAATGCCAGCAAAATATTTTTTTGTTCCAGCTTCTTATATGCTTTGAGTTTTTTGTCTGTAGAGTCTTATTTTAAAACATCAATTTGGCCATGATAACTAATGACAACCACCACAGCCATAAACCTAAAACAAAGTAAACACAGCATATACAGTAACTCACCCTGTTTAGTGTCCGTTCCTCTTAGTTCTTTGGCTGTATTTATTATTGATTTACAATGAAATGTTCTCTGGATAAATTTACCACTACTGCCTGAAGAGAAGTAATCGAGCTTCCCTCCCTCTCTCGCTCTGTCTCTTCCCCTCCCCCTTCTGCGTTAATCTCCGCAATATCCCTCCCTGCCAACTTCTTTCTATCCCCCTACACTGAAAAGAAAAAGTCAATTGTGAAGAGCCAATTCATCAAACACTTCATTTAAATTTTATTTCTAGTGAAATTTTAGTACATTTTATAGAGTGAAATCTTCACTTTATGATTTTAGAACTTCAGGGATGTTGTTGGATACACTGTAACAAGTTATGTCAATACAAATCAAGGTGTTTTGAGAGGGAGAAACTGTTGAATGTTTTTACTTCTTTGAAAGTGATCACACTCAGTAGATCACAGCCTAAATGTGACCTGGTTTCCATATTTGACAGTGTATAAGCTCAGGCTCACTCTCTCCGTGTAACTACTAATCTGATAAAACACCAGTAGAGGCACACCGATTCGTTGTAATCTTTGTGACCTTTGTAGCGCTATAATCAAGTTTTACTGAGACAAAATAAATCAATATGATGTTCACTTATCAAATCATTCACAAACAGAGATTTGGAGTAGCAGTAGCTGTTCAATTTTTAGTGTATTGCCTTTTGAAACAGCAAAGTGTTATTGCAGGTGATGGGCTATTCGCAGGTAAGAATGAATGAATAATAAATTAAATAAATTAAGAATACATTAGTGAAACATTACATTTCCCATGGTTAGTTTTCTGTAGATCCATCAATGACTCATTTCAGCGTCACTTATTTTCTCTAACTTTGTCTTTAGCCTTGTCCATAAACCAGCATTTCACTTGAACAGTAAATCAGTTAAGACCCTGCCATGGTCAAAGGGAGCACAGGGGTAATATGATCAATTTATTGGATGATATACCTCAGTGTTCCCTTTGATTGCATTCCAATACATTTCACCTGCATGAATGTGCTAAGGAGCTCCGTGATTGGCTGAAATGTGTAGTCACGTGACAGCTCTCGTGAGGCCTCCATGGTATATAAAGAGAGGGAGAGCGACTTGTTTGTCACTTCACTGCAGGGAAGAAGTTCTTGTTTCAGCAGTGTTTGAACGGAACCATCTTTCTGTGCTGTTTAAGCAAAAGTAGAAGAAACACCAGCTGAAATGGACTCCCAGGTGCGTCACAACTACCACTGTGACTGTGAGGCCGCCATCAACCGGATGGTCAACATGGAGCTTTATGCCTCCTACACCTACACTTCCATGGTGAGGAAACGCTTTACATATGTTAGAAACAATGTTCATCTATTATGTTTCTGTTTTGATGGTTTACACTCTATTCTCATAACACCAGTGTTAAAACTATATGTAGTACTTCATGTCAAAAACAATGTCTTCTGTGTTAATGTTCTCCAACATTTCACCTGGAGCATGAGTTTAGTTTTTCTTTGACTACCAAACAACAACTTGTCCCTGATCTTCCCCGTCAACCTCACTGGGGAAAAAACAAACTCTGCATCAGTCTTGGTTTGCTTCTCAACTTAAACAGACTCTTTAAAGTTCCAGTCCAGAGATGTTTACTTGCATATAAAAATACTGTTAACAATAGTCTAAGCTTTTCTTAAAGCTTAGTTTCTGTAATGGGCCTCGATGTTGGCCATTTGTTGTGCATTGCAAAAATTAATACTCAAATACACACCATGTGCCGATCACCCCCAGTTAGGGAGGTGAACTGGCTGTATCAGAGATGCAGAAGTAAAAACTAAGAAGGTTCAAGTATGTGGGAGCTTCATTCACCCGTTATGTAGGACTACTGTATAAAAGATGAGTCAAATATGTGCCTGTATTTGTAGTCTGGCTCAGTTTGACATGTCTTTATTTACCCAGTTGGTGTGTAATCTGTCAGGGAGGTTGGATTTTTGGCAGCAAGATGTGTCCATGCAGTTCTAGTAAAAACGTAGCATGAGTGAGTAAAATGTAGTGTTCTAACTTGCTTTTAAGCCCCACCCCTTTCCTGTTGGTGAATGGTACTGAGCCAGACTCGGTAGAAATCAAGCAATTTACCAGAGGTAACTCCGGTTTAAATGTCACCCCTAGTTGTGAGAGTGGGCTCTGTTAAGTTTGTTTGAGAAGCTGTCTGGTTTCAAAAAGGGGTATTTTGAGGTTATTTCTCATGTCATCAATTATGATGTGCTGCTACCAGCTTTTGTCTTGACTTCCTTCTGCCTCCTCACAGAGCTCTTTCTTCTCCCGTGATGATGTGGCCCTCCCAGGCTTTGCTCATTACTTCAAGGAGTGCAGTGATGAGGAGAGGGAGCACGCTGAGAAGCTGCTGTCCTTCCAGAACAAGAGAGGAGGACGCAACTTCTTCCAGGATGTCAAGGTCAGTACAGACTGGACACTGGGCCAGTTAGTAGGGAGATCCTCATGAGCGTATAAACTAAATTACTTCTGCATAAAAATAATGGAGAATGTGTTCACCTCCTTTTTGATCTTAAGGTCACGTCTAAGATTTGCCTTTCTAACATTGTAGAGAAGATGGGAAATGTTCAGCATTCAAGATTTAACAAAGTATTGGTACTGAAAGTGTTCATTGTGCAGAATGTCACAGTATTAAAATTGCGTTGTGTACATTACATAATGTTGCAGCTGCTCATAGGGGACCTAGTTTAATGCACATTTAATCTTAATACTTGTTTGTTTGTTCTACGGTGGTTAATTTACAAGCTTGGTTAACTATGAGGCAAGTGTACTTTCATCACCGTTTAGAATGCATAGTGACTCAACCAAGGATAGAACTGATCCTAGCATGTTCTGGCTTCTACTTCACAGGCCTGAATATAGTAATGCACTCAGCCATTAAACAAAGCTCGTATCTGGGGTTACAATTGGTATGAACCATAACACCTGGAAATGATTCTGACCTTTGGTTAAATTACTTTTGATACCGAGGTTTGCAGTCTACCGTCTTGTCAGTAGCCAGGTTCCTCTTGTGTCTGCTATAACTGGCTTGCTCCTGCAGAAACCAGAGCGTGACGAGTGGGGGGGTGGGCTGGAGGCCATGCAGTGTGCCCTGCAGCTGGAGAAGAAGGTCAACCAGACTCTGCTGGACCTGCACAAGCTGGCTACTCAGCATGCAGACCCTCATGTAAGTCAGCTGAAGACGCTGAATGCTGATGAGACAAGCTTGTGGCTTATTATGTCTAATGTTCTATCCTGTCAGCTGTGTGACTTCCTGGAGAGCCACTACCTGAATGACCAGGTGGAGCACATGAAGAAGCTGGGTGACTACATCACCAATCTCAGCAAAATGGATGCTGCCAACAACAAGCTGGCAGAGTACCTGTTTGACAAGCACACCCTGGAGGGCAAGAGCTAAACACACAGGCCCAGGAACGAGCTTGGTGTCCGTTGTGGTGACCTACAGACTTCAGTTTATTCACTGAGCTTAACTTGTAACTTCTCCTACTCTGTGGTGGAGCTTTAAATGTATGGAAGAATGTCTACAGCTGTTAACTACCTCTGACTTTCTGGTGTCAGTGTGAATAAACATTTTGAGCCGGTTTTGGTTTGTCTGCTTCTCTTCTGTCCATATTCACCATATGTATGGTCAGTATGTTTATACACTAGACCATGAATCCAGCCAGTTGATGTCTGACTTAAAATTGTGTACTGGAGGCGAACGTGGTGCGGTGGGTAGAGCAGTCATGTCCCAACCACAAGGTTGGAGGTTCGAGTCTTGGTGCCGGCAGTCCACGTGTTGAAGTGTCCTTGGGCAAGACACTGTCCCTTGATGGTGAGATCTATGGGTTGAGTTGGGCCCACCGATGGCTGCCATCGGTTCTGTACCGGAAACAAATTCCGTGTGTGTAGCATACTTCCCCTTTCATTTTTAGAGGGGGAAAGTCAGATTGACCCCCCCTAAATTCTCACAACATGGATATACGTTTTACATCTGAGTCTATTATCAAAATAAGCTGTTTTGGATGGCGAGGAGTCGTCACAAACTAGCAATACAGTACAGAGTTAAAAAAACAAAAGCCCCAACAAAGCAATGCTGGGTGGGTTGACTGCTCATCATACGCCGAGAGATACAAAGGAAGGACCCTGAGAGAGGAGGTAGTAATGTGGGCATGGTGTGTGTGTGAGAGAGAAAAGCTCAGAGCATCATGGGAGGACCCAGCAGGCTACATGTATAGCATAACTAAGGAAAGGCTCAGGGTTACCTGAGCCAGCCCTAACAAGCTTTATCAGAAGGGAAAGTTTGAAGCCTAATCTTAAAGGTTAGGGTTATTTTTGTAACTTGTACAAACTATATGTCCTCTGACAATGCTGCCCAAGTCCTGTTTGGTTATGGCCAAACCCAATGTGGTTTCCTTATCTGACTGGTTTGGTTGCTGTCCAGGGTGCTGAAGTCTGCAGAGCAACTCCAATGAAACAAGCACATTGACACAGGTCAGTCATCCAAAAGTAAAACGGGCTGTATGTATGACCCACTGTGCGTTTTACTGGGATAACCCTTTAGTAATGTGTGAACTGCTAGCTCCCACCAGAGAAGACATTGTTCCGGTATTCACAAAGGATTTAGGTGCCTATAGTTGATCTTATTTCTGCAATATAAAGGCAGTAATTTTAACCGATTAGTGTAATTTCAGCCCTATTTGTATTTAAATGAAACAAATGAGCATGCCTCCACTGGTGTTTTAGCAGATTAGTAGTTACAAGGAGAGAGAGAGCCTGAGCTCATACACTGTCAAATATGGACACCAGGTCACATTTAGGCTGAGATCTACCGAGTCTGATCACTTTCAAAGAAGTAAAATAAATCCAACACTTTTCTCCCACTCAAAATACCTTGATTTGTATTTAACTTGTTCAACACACGGTAGTTCCAACAACATCCCTGAAGTTCTGAAACCACAGAGTAAAGAATTTATTTTAATAGAAATAAAATGTAAATGAAGTGTTCAATGAATTGGCTCTTCATTTTTTTTTTTTTTTACAGTAAGAAGTCGGCATGGAGAGATATTGTGGAGATTAAGACAGAAGGAGGAGGGGAAGAGATGGAGCGAGAGAGAGTGAAGCACAATGACTTCTCTTCAGGCAGTAGTGGTGAATTTATCCAGAGAACATTTTATTGTAAATCAATAATAAATACAGCCAAAGAAGTGAGAGGAACTGACACTAAACAGGCTGAGTTACTGTATATGCTGTGTTTACTTTGTTTCAGAAGTACTTTGTCATAAAGTGAAAGACGTGGCATATAAGATTATCCACAGATGCTCTCCAACAGAATATTTTTTAAAGAAGTTTAGAAATTTTGAAGACCTTAATTGTTCTTAATGTAGTGGTCATATGGAAACTTTGAGCCATTTATTTTGCTACTGTGACTACACCCATACATTCTGGAAAGATGCCCGCAGACTCATATGTAATAATTTCATATTTGATTTTAACCTCAAACTTGACAATTTAGTTTTTGGTGTTCATGGTCATTGACTGGGACGTTTACATGGAGAACAATGAGTTTTAATGAACTCAATTGTCCTTCAAGGCAAATATTTTCTACACAAATGCAAATTTGAAAAACCAAACCCTGCTTCCTATCTTTTTCTTATTTACATGGACTTTTACATAAAAACTATCTCCTCTTCTGACAGTGCAAAAGCTTTAAAGACTTGTATGCTTTGTCAAAAATACCCCATCATGTCACATAACAATGACAAGATCAGTTCAGCGACATAACATGTAAACTGTAACCAATGTTGAGCTGTACAATAAAAGCAGTGGATTCACAGAATGTAATTAAATAACGTGATGATGAGTTATTTAATAGCTTTCCAGGCCCCGTAACCTGTGCGTTGACACAGTGGGTTTTGCTTTTTTTGTGTTGTTCCAAAAGAAATAAACATGAGAAAACCAGAAAACTTGTGATTGCAACAATTATCTGGGAGAAGTGATGCATTATTTGACAGAAATACAGGGGTGCCAATATTTTTAGCCATGACTACACACATAACTTACTCCATTATATTTATTCTGCATTTAAACATGTTCAAAAATATGTAGTTTATTGTCTTTTGAAACCGCAAAGTGCTTCGTTATTGCAGGTGATGGGCTATTCGCAGGTAAGAATGAATGAATAATAAATTAAATAAATTAAGAATACATTAGTGAAACATTACATTTCCCATGGTTAGTTTTCTGTAGATCCATCAATGACTCATTTCAGCGTCACTTATTTTCTCTAACTTTGTCTTTAGCCTTGTCCATAAACCAGCATTTCACTTGAACAGTAAATCAGTTAAGACCCTGCCATGGTCAAAGGGAGCACAGGGGTAATATGATCAATTTATTGGATGATATACCTCAGTGTTCCCTTTGATTGCATTCCAATACATTTCACCTGCATGAATGTGCTAAGGAGCTCCGTGATTGGCTGAAATGTGTAGTCACGTGACAGCTCTCGTGAGGCCTCCATGGTATATAAAGAGAGGGAGAGCGACTTGTTTGTCACTTCACTGCAGGGAAGAAGTTCTTGTTTCAGCAGTGTTTGAACGGAACCATCTTTCTGTGCTGTTTAAGCAAAAGTAGAAGAAACACCAGCTGAAATGGACTCCCAGGTGCGTCACAACTACCACTGTGACTGTGAGGCCGCCATCAACCGGATGGTCAACATGGAGCTTTATGCCTCCTACACCTACACTTCCATGGTGAGGAAACGCTTTACATATGTTAGAAACAATGTTCATCTATTATGTTTCTGTTTTGATGGTTTACACTCTATTCTCATAACACCAGTGTTAAAACTATATGTAGTACTTCATGTCAAAAACAATGTCTTCTGTGTTAATGTTCTCCAACATTTCACCTGGAGCATGAGTTTGGTTTTCTTTAACTTGTTGCCAAATAACTTGTCCCTGATTATCCCCCATCAACCTCACGGGGGGAGGACAAAAAAAAAAAACTCTGCACCATTCTTAGTTGGATTTTCCCAGTTTGTGCGTAGTCTGTCAGGGAGGTTGGATTATTGGCAGCAGGCTGTTTCCATGCAGTTCTAGTAATACTGTGCCATGAGAAACACAGCGTTCTAACTTGCTTTTAAGCCCCACCCCCTTCCTGTTGGTGAATGGTACTGAGCCAAACTCGGTAGAAATCAAGCCTATTTACCAGAGGTAATTTCTGTTTAAATGTCACCCCTAGTTGTGTGAAAGTGGG